CCCCCCCCCCCCCAGCAGCATGTTGAGCTGAGATGGAGCAGCCCCAGGCAGTGGGCTGACCACCCTGGACCTCCTGCCAGCCGTCTGCTACACCCTGGTTCAATGTGCTGCGGTCCCAGGCAGACATGTAAACGCTGTGCGCAGAAGCAATAACCTCCAGCTCAAACTGTACTGTAGTTTATTGCGATATGATAATTGCATGTGTAGATGCACCCACTGTAAGGCTTTCTCCCTGGCCTTCAAATCGTATTTATGATTCTTTTCCCAAATCCTCAATGTTCTTTTAAAAATGCTTTCCATATGTATTTTCAAAACTGTAAAGAGTATTCCAGAAACTGTATTATCAAGGTCATGCACAGAAATTTAAAAAGTCATCTTCCTACTTATCCATCTATGGATTTGATCAGTGTTTCTCAATCATTTTAGGACTCATAGCACCCCTTAGTCTTCTGTAGTGAAAAATAGAGTGAAAGCTAATACACTAATTCTTCTGTTGCAAAGAACTCAGAAAGACCACAACAGGTGAGATTTTTTTTTTTTTTTAAAAACACTCTGGATTCCTATTTAAAATCTCTGGGTTTACTCTTGTGAGTCATGGTTGCACACCTAACAGTGCTAGTATTGAGAGACACTCTGTGGCACCCTTGAAAGGATCAAGGCACCCCAGAGTGCTATGGCACCTTGGTTGAGAACCACTGGATTAGTAAAAACCTTACATCATTGCTGTGTAGCAGGAATAATATTTTGTACAGTTTCAGGATTACTACTTTTTTTTTTGTGAACAATAAAGATGTATTTGGAAAACTCCAACTTCTTATATTAAATATTTAGGAGTCCCCAACAAAATCTGTTGCACTAGAAGTTAATAGGACTTAAGTTTTTTTTAAGTGTTTAACTCCATGTTGGACAGTTTCATTTCATGTTACTTCCTTTTTGTAAATCTCAGGTACAGGTTGCCAAAATAAAGGTTTTATTTGAAAATAACATTCTTCTTCTGCAGCAAGGGGAAACAATTAATAAGAAATGAATTATTCCACCCTCCCCACCCAAAAGTACAGTAAGCATTTTAATTCAGCAGCATAAAATACACCAAAGTTCCCTACATGTCCACTATTAGTTTAAAAAAAATCTGAAAGTCATAGTTTCCTCTGACATAAGGTGCGTTTACCTTTTATTACATTTCACAATTGTCTGCCAACAGGCTAAACAGGAGAATAAGAGGCACAGCCTACCATGCTGATGAACCACCTCCAAGGAGGAATATTCTGCACTGGTCCAGACCTGCAAGGAGCAAACCAGGAAAGCCAAGGCTGCGACAGAACTCCAACTGGCTACTAGGATCAAGGATAATAAAAAGTCCTTTTTTAGATATGCGGGGAGCTGGAGGAAAAGCAAGGGCAACACTGGACCCCTGCTAAACCAGATGGGATGGCTGACAATTGACGCCCAGGAAAAAGCCAACCTACTAAATGGGTACTTTGTGTCTGTCTTTCACCGGTTCCACAGGACACCCCTGCCCATCACAGGACAGGGAGGCCTGAGTGAAGGAGATTCCTTGCCCTCCATCAATGTTGACTTCATGAAGGAACACCTTGTGAGGCTGGACACCTTCAAGTCAACCGGCCCTGACAATCTGCACCGCAAGGTACTCGAGGAGCTGGTGAGCATCATAGCTCAGCCCCTGGCGGGGATCTTCAAGAACTCCTGGCACTCTGGTGTAGTGCCCAAAGACTGGAAGAAGGCCAATGTGGTGCCTATCTTCAAGAAAAGGAAGAAAGTGGATCCGACAAAGTACGGGCCCATCAGCCTGACTGCTATCCTGGGGAAGGTCTTAGAAAAGCTTATCAAAGAGGCCATTCTTAATCAACTGGCCAATGGCAACATCCTGAGGGATAGCCAGTATCGGTTTGTTGCGGGTAGGTCTTGCTTGACCAATCTTATTT